AGGACAGATCCTGAAGCTGAGGCTTCAGTACTTTTGCCACCTCATGAGAAGAGAAGACTCCCTGGAAAAGACCCTGATGTTGGGAAAGATGGAGGGCACAAGGAGAAGGGGATGACAGAGGACGAGGTGGTTGGACAGTGTTCTCGAAGCTACTAACATGAGTTTGACCAAACTGTGGGAGGCAGTGGAAGACAGGAGTGCCTGGCGTGCTCTGATCCATGGGGTCATGAAGAGTCAGACACGACTAAACGACTAAACAACAACCAACTCATCTCAAAACTCATCTTAGAGCCAGAGCTTAAAGCGTTGGAATAGGACCTTGTTGGAGGAACTGGTCATGGGGAAAGGGTTCATTTCTTTCATGAGTGCAAATCACCCTATGGATGAGATAACAGGTTCAAGGTCAGCCAAGCCAGTTGCTATGGCAATGACCCAATGCTGACTATATAAGCGATTAAGGCATGTCTGGGACCTCATGCTGTCTGAGTGTTGGGGTCAGACTTGTGAAGTGAGTCGGAGTCTGTGTTGTCTTGATTTGCTGGAGCAACAGATATATTTTGTACTTCTATAAAACTGTATCTTTATCTGCAACTCCTACAAGCTGAAAGTATGTATCAGTGTCTGGAACTGTATTACTGAAGCCTTATCTATGTTGGACCTTAAGCTGCCTCTGTGTGGTGACTGGAACTGGGGGCAAATTCTGCTATGTGAGTACCGCACCTCAGATTCCCTGCAGACCTGGGAGACCAGGATTCAAAGCCCTGCCCAGCCATGAAACTCACTGGGTGACCTTGCACCAGTCAGTCTCTCAGCCTAACATACGGTTGTTGTGGGGGATTTAATGAGTAGTGGGAGAGCCATGCACATCACCTTGAGCTCCTTGAAGTCGAAGGTAGGATATAAACGCAACAATTGAAATAAATAAATAAATAAATAAATAAATAAATAAAACCTATATGGGGGAAAATAAAGAGACACAAACAGCCCCATGCTGAGGCTCTTGAAATAGAAACAGAAACAGAACAAGAGAGGCAAGCTTCTTCTTCTGAATTAGTGAGCAGAGAGGTGAAACTGAAATAAGGCGGAATGTGGGCTGGGCCAGTGAAGCTGAAGGCATTTCTTCCACACCAAAGGGGGCTTTGCCTAAAGCAAGCCCTCTGCAACCTCTGCATCCTGCCTGTTGACAGGTGACGAAACCTGACTATTGAGAAAGAAGGCTGAAAATGCCAGAAGACAAAATCTCACACCACAGAAGGGTAGCATCAGCAGAGATAGGAGGAAAAAGAAACACCACGGGGAAAGCAGCAAGGAGCTATGTCAAATTACAGATAAAAATAGCTGGTATGGCCATTTCTTCAGCACAGGGCATGAGAGCCAGTGTGCTAAGCAGTTCAATGAGAGTTGGATTTGGAAAGTGAAAGTCTTGGCTTTGAATCCTTGCTTACTACTGTATAAGAATGTTAGAAGATAAGAAGAGCCTGCTGGATCAGGCCAATGGCCCATCTAGTCCAGCATCCTGTTCTCACAGTGGCCCTCAGCCCTGCCCAACCTGAACTTAGGGTCATGGTTTATCTTCCCACTTGCAGGGCCTTGACTGAGGGTCTGTGTGAGTAGGTATTCCAAAAGGATTCCTTAGGCTTTCTGAAAACTTAACAAACACATCCAATGTAATTGTGGAAGTCTGTTGCACCACCAATATTCAAGTCCCAAACTCCCAAAATTCAAGCTAAAGTCTTCCTCTGAATGTCATCCTTTCGGAGCCCAGAACATTTCCCACAAGTGATTTGTCTGGATATTGTTTTAGAAGTGATACCTTCTCACAAAGTCTGTTCATATTAGGCTAGTTGCAAAGGCTGCCCTTCGATTCCTTCATCTTACCAGGGAGATAAAGGAACATTCGTCAGTATCAAGCCCTAATGAATGTGACAGACCCTTTTCCAAAGGAGCAGTGACTGTAAATGTAAGATAGGGACAAGTTGGCAGGAGGAGATAGCCAAGCTAACACCAAAGGAGTTCTGAAAGTTCTGAAGTCATCTTGTCTGGTTTTAGAACTAAGCATGTTGTAGAATGGTTTTTTCCTGGATGCAATGCAGCTCAACTTGTTTTTCATAACCTTGCCCTAATCATCGTACACCTGCATGTGTCAAAATAGCTCTCCTCCCAAAGGCTGCAATTGTTCAAAGCAGAATAACCTGCACTCTGAGTGAACAATCTTTCCCTTGGAATTAGCTGAGATGCGTAATGTGGGAGCAAATGTCTCCACTAGCAAGTTTTGTCTGCCCTTCAAGAAGAGCGTGGTCTCATTCATGAAAAAAATCTGCTTTCCTTCTAATACCAATGGGACACCTGAAAGCCCTGTGATTCCTTCCTTGATCATTCTTATCAGACTTCTAGCCAGTTTGACTGATACTCTTGTAAAGAAAGATGAAAATGGAGAATCAAAGTTCTGTACCCAAAGGCTGTCAGCAACTGGCAAAGCTGGGGACCCATTTCTGTTCCATTATCTTTGCTGCAGAGATGGAGAATTTGGGCTTGCCCTCAGCTCAGGAAGGGCCTTCCTAGGCCTGTGATAGTATGTGCACTACCACCACATACGCTCCAACTGTCCTGAAAATGCTGGGACCGTCCTGAAAAACCACCACAGCTTCTCACAGTGAGTCCCAATGTCCCAAGGAGTCTTCCCTTCAGTACAGCATTTCAACAAGTTACCGAAAGTTCAGATCAGTGCATCCCTTGACCACATTTCTTAGACCTCTGCCTCCCGCTCCCTCCCACCTACTCAATATGGCGTTGCTTCCTGCTTCCTGTTTTGCTTCATGCACTTCGGGGACCTAACCTTGCTCACTGCCTTTTCATGGAACTGGGCAAGCAGCAGCAGCAGTAGCAGGTGCTGGGCTGGGCTGGCAGCTGCGCATTGGGAGAAAGGCTGTTGCTGCCACCTGGGCTCGGACCCATGCACCTTCTCTGAGGTAGGTGCTTTGGATCTGAGCCACGCAGATCCTGAAATCCTGAACAGAGCCATGTTTCAGCAGAAGGAAACCTGGATAATTTCAAGAGACTTCATTCCAGGGAAGTGTTCTGAGGCTGAAGCACTACTGCAGCAAGCAAACTATTGCCATGGCCCTACGAATATCCAAGTTTTGCTTGAATTGTATAGAGAAGGCAATCTCTGTTATAACTCAAAATGCACCTTCTTTATTTTGAGAAACTGGGACTTGTTTACAGCAACCTTGAGATGCATGTGTGAGAACGGCTGATCACATTTACTTGGTCATCCTCTGCACCGTGATTCAGAGGAAAAAGTTAACCAGCACCCATAGGGACAGAGATGCGAACGAGGCCATGTCCTTGGCATTTGCAGTCATGCTAAGGCTGAAAGCATGAGAAAGGTGGTTTAGTCTCTGGGGGAAGGACATAGATGGCATTTGCTCTATGTCTCTTGGTAACTTGCCAATGAGCGCTATTAACATCAGCGTCTCCAAAAAGGTCAATCAATCAACCTGCATATTTGTGGGATGCCCTTTATGCCAAGCGCCTCCAGGGCACTTGCTAAAAATACAGACATCCAGCAGGGCCACTTAAAAACAAAGATAGCCAAAAAAGATTAAATGCAAAACACACATATGCATTAAGAGCTGGGTGAAGAAGACCCAGCAATAACCAGCAATTATCTCAATGACTCATTCAACTATATGGCCATATGTGGCTGAAGGAGGTTAGAGTCAGATGGCCTTTAAATGTTACCCCAGCTGCATGAGAGCTACGTTCCCAGGCCAGCCCTACCATTAGGAAGAGTAAGGCAGCTGCCTCAGGCTGGGGGGTGGGCAGGGAGCAGCAACAAGGTTGGGGGACAGAGCTGGGTGTGTCATACAGACCTTCAGGTGCAGTGAAGGATGCTGTTCCATTGCCAGTGCTGAAGTAAGAGTCAGCTGCCAGTTCAGTTGACATCCATGTGTGGAAACGGCGCTGGTGTGTGAGCCATCTTGTTCTTTGTCTTAAGCACAGCCAGTCTTGGACCAGCCCTGTTGCTCTTTTGTCAGTGGCTCTAATTCAGGTATTTGAATGGCCAGGCACCCTTGTCTATGGTGCAATTTGTTCGTAATGCTAAGCCATAATGCTAAGTGAGTATGCACTTGGGATGGTTGTTATATCTCTCTTTTAATTTTTCTCAGTTTCTCATTTTCCCAGTTTTCCAATCTTCAGTTCTCCCCATTTCCACATCAGTTTGCAATTGGGCTCAAGATATAAGAGAGGCCTATAGAGAAGGAAAGGCAGACAAGAGGGGTGACATAGAGGTGGGAGAGAGGAGGAGGAAAAGGAAAAGGAGAGACCACAGAGTTTGTGAATGGGATTCCTAGAGAAGAAGGGCAGAGGGAGAGACTAGTGGACACAAAGAAGGAGCAGGTGGTGGAGAGATGAGAGGCAGTGGGAAACCCTGAGTGGAAGAACAAAGAAACAGAGAGGGAATGTTATGCTAAAAAGAATTAGGTATAAATAAGACTTAAGTTTTAAGCTTTAGGGTTTTTTATGGTAAGATAAGGTTAAAATAGATTAAGGTAATTTAATGACAGAATATTGTGAAAGATGGAAAGGATTTGCTGAGATAATTAATAACTAGAATACAAAAAAGGGAGGTGCGAGGAGGTCGGTGAAACAAGCTAATGAAAGATAAAGATTTGGGAATATTGGATTTGTTTTTAAATTTTTTGTTTATTTTTGTTTTTTGATTTTGATGTATTGTGTGTTTTGTTTTTTTCTTTGACTTTGGTTTTTATTGACTTGTATTGTTCAATTGCTATTTTTGTCTATTTTTTTCTTTTTCTTTCTTTCTTGTTTCTGTTGGTTTCTATTTCCCTCACTGAGCAGCAACTGCTGTCACGAGACAGGTGTTTACATTCCACAGTCTGTACTGTTGGAGTTTCTCACGGGAAAGGGAGACTGGATGTGACGTACACTGGTTTCCTGTTTTTCACTCTGTGTGATTCTCTCCAAGCAGTCGTGGAGAGAGGATGCATTTCTCTGCTCCTGCAGAGGCAAGATGTCTTTCTGTAATATACCAGCTTTGAACTGTAAATAAAGCAATAAAGAGTATGCAGCACGTATTCTCATCCTTCCGTTGGGCACGACAGACTCTGCTTAAATCAACACGTGGTTATGGGCTACAGAGGTCGAATCGGAGTGCCGGCAAAGGATCGGAATGCAGAGGGAGGACGGATCGGAAAGGAATCTGCTCTGCGCGTAGAAGTGATTGATGAGGTATGTGCTACTGCTCCGGGCAGCCTGCCAGCTTCAAGTTAATGGCTTTATGGCTGGACTTTGAACTTTAAAGCCGGTTTTGCCGGGAATAGGCAAAAGGCTCCCAGGCACAAATCACTATGCTGGGGAAATCGAAAGTAACTTTTAAGTGTGCCTTTGTAATCAGGCAGCTGCAGCAGTGACGCAGCAAGATTTAAAGCAGCATATATAATGACGCTGAAGGCTAATGCCAGAGTCATGATGGCCCTTCAGGATGCTAGTGGGATTCCTAAGCTCAACAAGAAAAATTACAGCGACTGGGTTCAGTATGCAGAGGCAATTCTGCGGAAAGAGGGTTTGTTTGAGGTGATTACAGAAACCCCCCCAGTTCCAGTTACAGATGCATGGGAAGCTAAGGATTCCAAAGCAAGGGGAACTCTTACATTGATAGTATCCCCAGAAGAGCTCTGTCTATTGCGTGATAAGACCTCAGCCAGAGAAATTTGGGACGCTCTGAGAGAGGCTCACTTAAGGACAGAAGCTGGATCAACTATGTTTTATTTTAACAAGCTGCATAATATGGCTCTTGCTGAAGGTGGAGATGTGCGTTTACATCTGATGCAGATGCAAAATCTGAGACATGAGCTGCAACAGAGAGGACTCAACTTTCCAGAGGCTGTGTATTCTTTCATGATACTACAATCTTTAGGTTCAGGTTGGGAGTCTGTTGCAACCCAGATTGCTGTGCAACCAACTGCTCAGCTGACAGTGGACTTTGTTACTGCCGTGATTTTAAATGAAGCAGATCGCCGGGGTGCTAGCTGCATGGGCAAGGGAGAGTCTTCACAGACGTCATCCCATAGTGCAGTGGAACCACCAGATGGCGCCAAAGCTTTGAAGGCAGTGAAATGCTACTCGTGTGGACGTCTAGGCCATATGAAGAGGGAATGCAGACATCCCAGGGCCAAGACAGAGCAGCGCAGCGAAAGCTCATCGCGCGGAAAAGGCCGAGGCAAAGGCAAAGGTCCGGTGTCTAGGACAACGCAGCACAAGGCTATGGTTTCACGCTTCACTCCAAAGGTTGCAGAGGTCCAGAAGACGTCTAGATCTTTCTTCGTTGTTGATTCAGCGGCCACCCACCACATGTGCAACGATAAGAAACTGTTTGTGTCTTTTACACCGCAGGAAGGTGCGATTCACCAGGCGGATGACCACACTATTCCCAGTAAAGGCTACGGAACTGTTGTTCTTCACAGTTTGGACTTATCGATACAGAATGTGCTTTACGTGCCAGACGCCAAACATAATCTGCTCAGCGTTGGACAGCTGAATGAGCGGAACATTGACGTTTCCTTCAAGAACAAGAAGTGCATCATCACAAAGAAAAATGATTATGTATTGCATGCAGAATATGTTGATCGTTTGTTTGTTTTGTATTATGATGATGTGGTGCAGGATGACACTTGTTGCATTGCAGGTTCTAACAAAAGTTTGCATGCAGAATGTATTCACGATTTTCATCGCAAATTTGGTCATTTGCATTTTGAGGCAGTATCTAAAATGCCTGCCTTGGTTGAAGGTATGACTATTAAACCCTGCAGGTACCACATGAAGTGCAAAGCATGCGCAGCAAACAAGGTGAAAATGGCTGCGAAAGGTAAGGTGTCTAGTAGGAAAGCTACAGAACCATACCAGGTTGTTCATGCTGATTTGGTTGGACCACTTGCGCCCTCTTTGGGTGGAAATAGATACTTCATGGTTCTCATTGATGCATTTTCTAGATATATTTTTGTGTACAATCTCAAGCAGAAATCGGAGGCTTTTCCTAGGTTCAAGGAATTCTGTGCTTGGTTGGAAAATGTGCATGGTAAGAAGATAAAGACTCTTTTCAGTGATCGCGGGGGAGAATTCACTTCTCAGCAGTTTGAAGCTTTTCTGACTGAGAAAGGAATTCAACACGATTTGTCTAGTCCTCGCTCGCCATGGCAGAATGGACTTGCGGAACGGGCAAATCAGACTTTGCTTCAAGGGTTAAAAACCTTGCTGCATGATGCCAATCTTCCAGAGAGTTATTGGGCCGAATCTCTCTCGTGTTTTGTTTACAGTTACAATCGCAGGTTATCTTCAGCGATTGGATGTACCTCTATGAGAAGATGTTTGGCAAGAAGCCATACATCAAACACATGAAGATTTTTGGTTCTGACATGTGGGTTCGCTCACCACAAAACTCCAAGTTAGACAAGCGTGGATTGCATGGTATCTTTCTAGGTTATCAGAAAGGGTCTTACAGAATAATGATGACTGACTCTAAGACAATTAAGCTCACGAGAAGTGTTGAGTACAATGCAAAGTGGGGGAGAATGTGGGAATTTTCCAATGTTATCCTGATGACGGTGATGAGACTGAGGATAGTCAAGAGCAACCACAACAGCCCACACCCACTGATGAAGGTTCTGAGTCTGAATCTGAAACTGAATCGGGTGATTCAGAGGATTTCAAGAGTGCGAAAGCCTCTATGCGACCCTCTGAAAGCTCTGATCAAGAATTGGAGGAACCATTGTTCACAATAGGTCGTTTTTCTCCTAAGAAGGAAGAGGAGAGTGTTGAAGACTTAAGGCTAATTCGTAGGTCACAGAGAGCCACAAAAGGCAAACCTCCAAAGAGATTTGCTGATGAGTTTGCTACGATAGCAGTAACAGCTGTTAAAAGCTCCAAGAAGGTATTTGAACCTTCAAGTTTCCAAGAAATCCAGGGTTTGGATTCAAAGGAAGCTGAGCCATGGTTAAATGCCATGAAGGCTGAGCTTGATTCCTTAGAAAGGAACAAAACATGGGAGCTAGTTCCAGTAGTTCCAGGAATGAAACTGCTTGGAAGCAAATGGGTCTTCAAAGCGAAGACAGATCAAAATGGCAAGATAGTCAGACACAAAGCCAGATTGGTAGCCAGAGGTTTTGCACAGGTACCAGGTGAAGACTATCACGAGACCTATTCACCCACAGTGAGATATGAAAGCATTAGGCTTATGCTTAAGCTAGCTGCAGAGGAAAATCTACACATTAGTCACCATGATATTAATACAGCTTTTCTGTACGGATCTCTAGATGAATCACTTTATATGCTTCCACCTGATGGCGTACAGGTAAAACAGGGATTTGTTTGTGCTCTGAAGAAATCCCTTTATGGTCTCAAACAAAGTGCACGGTGTTGGCACACAAAACTCACTGAAGTATTGTTTTCTCTAGGTTTTCAGCAAGGGAAAGCTGATCCATGTGTATTTGTCAAAGAGGAGGGGCAAAAGAAACTGTACTGTTTGTTTTATGTTGATGATTTATTATTCTTTTGGAAAGATGTCGCAATGTACAATAACGCCCTAGCTCAACTGAAAGAGCACTTTGACATGAAAGATCTTGGTGAGGTAAACAACTACCTATCTCTGGAAATAGAGAGAGATCAAGATGGTAACATTCTAGTACACCAGTCACGGAAAATTGCTGATGTGTTAAGCAAACTAAATCTGATGGATGCTAACCCTGTAGACACACCGATGACAACAGGTTATCAGGTAGATGACACTGAAGAAGCATTTTCTGACACTACACTGTACAGGAGTGTGCTAGGCAAGCTAAACTTCATTGCCAGATGTTCAAGACCAGACATTGCTGTTAGCTGTAATTTGCTAAGCAGACAAGTCAACAATCCTAGTGTCAAGGATTGGAAAGCTCTGAAACGCATAGCGCGGTATTTGAAAGGCACTATGCATTACAGACTGAGATTTAACAATCAGAAGTCTGGTGGTCTTGAGATATTTGCAGATGCAAGTTTTGGAAGTGACACTACAGACAGGAAAAGTACGTCTGGAGTTTGCTATATGTACAATCAGAGTCTGTTTGATTGGTCATGCAAGAAGCAAACAACAGTTAGCTTAAGTACTTGTGAAGCTGAACTGAATGCACTGTCTTATTCACTTAAGGATTGTGAATGGTTAGTACAATTGTGCAAAGATATGAAAATTCCTGTCAAATGTCCAATCCAGGTTTACCAGGACAACAAAGCATGTTTGGCTTTGCTGAAGTCTGAAGGTTGTAAGCAAAGCACAAAGCACTTGCAATTAAAGTTGCAGCATGCTAGGGAATGTATTCAGAAGGGACTCGTAACGGTGTCCTATATGCCAGGTAATGAAATTCCTGCTGATGTATTGTCCAAGATTGTATCAAGGGATCAACACTGTACCTATGTGCAGAAGTTGGGTTTGTACTGATACTGTACGAACACGCTGCCCAGTGATGTTCACAGAAAGGGGGAGGATGTTGGTTTCTATTTCCCTCACTGAGCAGCAACTGCTGTCACGAGACAGGTGTTTACATTCCACAGTCTGTACTGTTGGAGTTTCTCACGGGAAAGGGAGACTGGATGTGACGTACACTGGTTTCCTGTTTTTCACTCTGTGATTCTCTCCGAGCTGTTGAGGAGAGAGGATGCATTTCTCTGCTCCTGCAGAGGCAAGATGTCTTTCTGTAATATACCAGCTTTGAACTGTAAATAAAGCAATAAAGAGTATGCAGCACGTATTCTCATCCTTCCGTTGGGCACGACAGACTCTGCTTAAATCAACAGTTTCTTCCTTTCTTTCTTTGTAATTTTAAATTCTCAATAAATATCATTTAAAAAAAAATAGAATCAGGCTGTATATATGTGCAAATAAACCACATACCATAAAGACACCACAGTCTCCTCTGTGCCTCATTGTGCAAAGGGAAACACAGAGCCTGGTGAGTGTGCCTGGTACCTCTGGAATCTTGCACTGCTCAGCAGAGATTGGGGTGGCGTATAACCCAACTAAGTCTGTAAAATGCAAATGCATAATGGAAGGGAGAATTTAATAAGCCCTAGGATATTTGTATTTATTTATTGGATTTATAGCCCCCTCCCTTTCTCCAAGGTGGTGTACATGATTCTCCCTCTCCTCATTTAATCCCCCAAACAAAGTAGGTTAGGCTGAGAGGCAATGGCTGGCCCAGGGTCACCCTGTCAGCTTCATGGCCAAGTAGGGATTTGAACCCGGGTCTAGCACTCTAACCACTACAGTATATTATACTGGCTTTCTTAGTAACATAGCAGAACATAAATGACTATATTGCTTTACCAACATGAATAATTTTTCCAAGCAATAACTTGCTTGTTTATTATATTAAACAGCCATCATTCATTCATTCTCCCATTCATTCACTCACTCGTTCATTCATGACCACTGCTTTATCACATCTTCTGAATGTTGCCAGGCAACCACAAGATATTACTAGCGCATCTGCTGCTGGCATTGCGTTGTTCCACCTGACCATGTACACATACTTCGCTTGAAGAGGGAAATGTATGTTTCAATTGAACACATGCAACTGGAAATGCTTCCGATCTGTATCTCAGTAAAGTCTTTGGCACATTTCCCCCAATTCTGCCTTACCTCTTTCTCAAGCCTTTTGAATAACAGCGCTTGCAGATAGACATCCAGAAAATATCATGAGACTATACATCAGTCCCTTTTAGATAAAGTTCAGTGGGGGGAATCAAAACTGCTCCCAGGGAAACTTAAATTAGCCGCAAAGCAATTACCTTAAGTGATTGAAAAAATGGTTCCATAAAATCTTATTTAAATGAGTTTTTAAGTGGTCGGCTAATTACAAGGTGGCTGCACTAGCGATGAGTAAAACTCACGAATCTGAGAATAAGAGAAAGAAACACAAGAGTATTGTCTAAAACATTAGTGGCTCACATTGACTATAACTGAGCTGTAGAAAGGGCTCTATGAACTGAAAGCAGAAACACTGTATGTATTCAGTAAAACAGTAAACAGTAAAAAAGAGTAGATGCATGTTCAAGCAGCCCAACTTTCTGACTAGTGTAGTGATGCTCTGGGCATCTGCAGTAGCTTTTCAAACGCCACTTGAATTCTTGGCCTCATGGTTCTGAAAATAAAAAATGGAGATGGTGCTACCAAAACAATATCCAACAAAGGTCTCACATTTGGTACTTGCATGCATTAACCTGAGTATTCTCAGGGATCCATTGTTAGATTACACAAGCGGCAGACCAAGCTTGTGTTTAGGGCAGCAGCAAAGGAGGGGCATTAAAAAATTGACCGGTGTTTTTTGGGGGAGAGGGTGACATTTGATATTTCAAAAAGAACTTCAAAATAGTCATAGAATTGTAGATTGAGAAGGGACACCCCCCCAAAAAAAGTTCATCTATTTCCTTCCGCTGCAATGCAGTCATCATGGGGGGAAAATCAAAACTTTGTTAGACTTCCTTACACTCCACTACACATGCATCTCCCATTTTTTCTGGTCTTTTTTATTACTTTTTCCCAGCAAAACAAGGGGCCTCCTACTAACATAGATCAAAATATTATTATTATTTCTTAATTAAATTTGTATACCGCCCTATAGCTGTAGATTTTAGGGCAGTTCACAACTTAAGATTACAATATAAAAAATACAAAATACACAATAAAAATAAGAACAAAGACCACCCAATAATCTCCTCCTTCCACAACTCATTTAAAAGGACATCAGATGTCAATCAGCCCGAGGCCTGGTGCCTAAAGGTGTATAGTGAAAGCACCAGCCAAACCTTCCTGGGGAGAGCATTCCACAAACAGGAATAATGTGAGGAAGTCAAATTTTGTCATGTGGTGCAATAAATCTTTGTTATATTTTTATTATCATTGATAGAATACCATATCAAGGAGTTACATGTAGTTTTGTTTTGATTTGTACACTGCTCACATCCCATAGGAACACCCTCAAAGGGAAGGGAAGAAATAGCCAGTCTGATTATTTTCCTCATTCCCTGCTATGCTAAAGTGAAGCAAATAAACTGCTTAGCCTCTTCCTCACCTCATTCACTCCCCAGAGCAAGGAGGGTCTGTCAACTACCCTGGCAGTACTCTGGGAGATGATGTCATTGCTTTTGCTTTGAAACCAGTCCTAGAGCCGCACTCCCCTGCAATTCTCCCTCCCCTGCACCACCAGTAAGGAGGAGTCTTCCCATGTAAACTATGCACAAGTGCCTTTCTTGACTAGTGTTTAATCTGGCAATTGCTTTGTGTATCGAGCAGTCTAGGGACAAATTACACGTGACACTAAATGCACCATCAGAAAGCATGTCAGTTTTTAAAAATCATTGAACAATAGGCATGGGACTCCGATTTTCATCTGGACTGCACCGCATGGAGAGGTTTAACCCTTCCTTCCCCAGCCACAATTCTGACGAAAATTCTTTCCCCTCTCAATGGTACTCTTAGCCATTACAGGAAGGGGGCCAAAGCTTCCATTGGTGCCCATGCCAGTTATTTTCTAGGGCTAATAGCAGCTGGGGGTTTTTTCACTGGGATCACGACTGGGAAGGAAAAGGTTAAGCCTCCCTTCCCCTTGTGTTGCAGTCTTCATGCCTGGGTACTGAAGAATCAAAAATCCCTGACATGCTTTTGGATGACACATTTAGTGACACACACAAGCTACTACGAAAATCACTTTGGCGTAGTTTGACATTTGAGGTTTTGGTGTCGATGTGCTGATACAGATGCTGATAAAACTGTGGCAAACGCTTGTAGCAACATACCGGAAAGGAAGTGGCTTTTTGCTTGAAACGTGATCCTGCAACTGACTTAATTCCAAATCCCCCAAATATGTACAACTGGCAGTAAGCAGCAACTCAACGTTGCTTGTGAAACAACAGCTCCCAACCCCCTACTGTTCATTTGCTTGTTCCCATTCCATATCTCTTCTTTCAGGGTAGCCAACAAGTGCATTCCTACCAGTGGTGGGCAAGACTATTTGTCCGCGAAGACAGATGGTACAGTGACAATCTAATACAGCGACAAGCAAGGGGTTGCATGTGCTCGAAAACATCCAGTAGAAATGATGATGCAGAGGAAATGATGAGAAAGCGCACGAGAAAATTGCCCTCTTCTTGTGTGACAAGGCTCCACAGAAGATCTGATGACCTGTTGGTGTTACGAAGCAGGTCCAGAGCCAGCCCAGGACATTTTGCTGCTTGAGGGGAAGGATGAGATAGTTCTCCCCATACCTCAAGTTCCATCCCTGTTGAGTACACCGGCACTAGAGTCTTATTGCAACACTGTCAAAGGAATGGTGTCCTCCACTCAATGTTGACTCCAGTTTTTGGAGGGTCCTTGAGCAAGACTCTATGAGTCAACTTCCTTGCTGCAGCTGTTCCAGGGTCTCTTGTTAGTCCCCCCCCCCAAGCATGGTGCCTGGAAGACAATACTGAGCCTTGATGCTATTCCTGCCTTGCAGCAGGCTAGCTTAGGGGGAGCAGGATAGGCTGTGTGGCATACAAAGCTCTGCTCTGCCTCATGCCACTCCTCATCCGCAGCAACTGCTATGGTAGGACTGGCTCTGGGAAGCCCTCCAACAGGCATGGATGCAGGTATTTTGCCATGCTTGCTGGGGCTGACGGGAGTCAAAGTTCAGCAATACCTGGTGAGCCCAAAGCCCCCCACACCTACACTAATATCAGAAGATAGGAATCTACAGAGTTAACCCAGATGAAACAGGTCTCAATAGTGATCTTGAACCTGAAAATGATCCATGAGTACCAAAGTCTTCCCCCACTTCCTCTCTCTGACATTTACAGTATCAAGCATGTTGGACCTTCAGGTCCCAAGAACATAGCACCTCAGATCCACCATGAAGTAGATCACTCACCTCACCCCATTAATTCAGTCCCATTCACCATGAGCATACTCCCAAGAACCCCCTACTCTCGAAGCATCTGACATGCAATGAACCCTGGCAGAAACAGCACAAGGTTATCCAAGTGTAGCGCAGGCCTTGGACTTTGAAGAAAACAGCTCCCAACTCTCATCAGCCTCGGCCAGCCTGGGCAATGGTCAGGGAGGAAGGGAGTTGGAGCAGCAACGTCTAGAGGGCCACAGACACAAAACTCACCCGTTCAAATTGCCATTCTATAACCAACACAACTGTCCTTCACTCATTCATCAGCTAGGCTTTATCCTAGGGTTGCCATATTTCAAAAAGTAAAAACCAGGAAACCACTGAAATTGTTGAGCTTTTTCAATTGACTTGCCTAAGCCCACCTTTCAGAAATTCCCCCTGGACGTCAATTCCGCCTTTGAAATCCCAGTAACTCCCCCTGGACTTATGGCAGCCCTGCTTTGTCCAGTGATTGATTCAAGAAATCCTGGCTTTCAACATGGGGCCAGCACTTCCAGGCAACAGGGAGAAGCAACTCCATTCAGGTGGTACAGCAAAGAGGAAGCAGATGAAGGCAAGAAGTCATGTCAGAAAAAAACATGAGAGCTTTAATTTGTGAAGGGTGCCGAGAGATGTTGGGAGACCCTTATTTCCCTCAGAGAGATACAGTTCCTAGAGTGGCTTAACAATTAATCCCTCTTCCCAGGGAACTCTGGGAATTGTAGCTTTGTGAGGGGAATAGAGGTCTCCTAACACCTTTCAGTGCCCTTCACAAATGGCACTTCCCATGATTCTCTGGGGGAAGTCATGAAGCCATAAAGTGGTCTTATAGTGCATTAAATATGTAGTGTTTGTGGGGCCTTATTTAGCATATGTTTAATTTACTCTGAATTTTATATGGATTTTTGTATGCAACCAAGTCTTCTCATCAAGGCAGTTTAGAAGTCTGAATGGAATAAGGTAAAAATGAAACAACAGAACAATGGCTATATAGCAAACCAGATTACAGTTATACATATTTTAAAAATACAGGAGCCATGTAATATAAACCTTGCAAGGCAATTTTCAGTGTTATGAAGGATACAAGCTAGACAAAATAACAGAGTTAAGTGCCAGTCATGAAGCAGAGTTTTGGCTTCCTGTTCCCTATTTCCTTACAGCCTTTGACCACGTATAGAAGACTGTAAAGAAAATGACTTATGGTTCCTCATCACTGTTTTCCCTGATAGTTTGCTGTGTTCTCTTACAGTTGGCCATTTGTTATCCATACAAAACAGCTGCACTCTCCTCCCGCCGGCGACTGGCTTACTGTGTCATTATAAACAGAATTGGTGTATTTGTTTTGCTATTCCGAAATGCATTCTGCACTTCACTCACAGTCTCCACAATTGAGAAATCTGTCACTTTGGTGGGAGGCCAAAGAGAAGGGTTTCACAAACTGCAGCTATTTCTTGTTGCCAAAGTTTTGCAGAGAGTCTGTAATCAAAAAAAGGCAACATTTATACACCATTGTCGTGCTCTGATACTTGATACAGTAAATGACAGTTGTTTCCTGCCGCCTTATGTTTTGCCTCATGCATAAAGATCAGAAGAGAGATTCAGTTCATGCGGCTGTGGCTTCTGCAGAGAAACAAGCAGAACAAGAAAAGAAAAAAAGTCAGAGATTGCTCCGGATGGGCATTTTTTGTATACTAGGATTGTTTTAATGAATATTTTGTTATCAGTGGTATTTCTGTATTTTTGTAAGTTGCTTCAGGACTCCTTTCAATGTGGGAAGCAATGAACAAGCTTAATAAGCTAAACTATAAACTAAATTGCATAAACCCCACCCCTAACACTCAATATATAATCTTATATAATAGCATGTATTAATATGCATACATATATTACCTGTAAACAATGCATCATGTTGTCTAGGGTATGCTGCCTTCAAGAGAAACCCCACAAGCATTTTGCATTTGTCCTTATTTTGGTATTTATGAGAGTGGAGAAAACCATCTCTCTAACATCCTGATGATGCTCCAATAGGACTGAACCCTAACTTGAGCCTAGCTCAATTGACTGCAGATTGGGAGAAAATCCTAAGAGCCAAGAAAGCTCTGGGTTGTCTTGTGACCTTTGTCCACCATGGAAGGTCCATAGCTCAGTGGCAGAGCATCTTTCCTTGCATGCAGAAGGTCCTGAGTTCAATCCCTGGTATCTCCAGATAGAACTAGGAGTGGCATCTGTCTCAAAGCCTAGGTAGCTACTATCACTCAGTGTTAGCACTGCTGAGCTAGATGGGCCCATGGCCTATCTCAGTAGAAGACAGCTTCCTCTATTCCTATTATTGCAATCTTAGAATGTTAGAATTGTAGAGTTGGAAGGAACCCTGAAGATCATGCAGCCCAGCTCCCTGCAATGTAGGAATTTCAACTAGAACATTCATGACATATGTCCATGATGGAGGACAGAGTAGTGTGTGCCATGTGGCCTACCCTGTACTCCCTAGGCTAGTCTGCTTCCCTAAGTGGAGGACAATATCCCTTTGCCAGTGTTGAAGTAAGACTCAGTTGGCAGTCCAGTTTGTATGTGGAAGGGAGAGACGTCATCACTTAGCGCCACAGGCAGCAAAATATATTGGGCTGGCCTGACTTTGCATATGAAGTGGCAAATCTTTTAGAAACAGGCGTTCAGACACTTGGGAATATTGCCCAAGGATCAAGGGTGAAGAGCCAATGATCTGGCAAGGATTCCTGGTGCCTAGAGAAAACCTCTCTCTGTTTTAAGTTGTGGACAAGCATCGCAGAAGATAGGGCAGGGGAGCGATAATCGTTTCCATATTCTGTGAACTGTTCACACCTAAAACAAACAGAGCAGTTGCTGATCTGTGCTTACCTGGATGTGCGTGAATGAATGCCTTAATGAAAGGCTGCTGTGAATTGAGGCATGAAGGACAAATGATTTGCATGTTTTTGCCAGTTGGCTGTACCTGGTTGTAAAACTAGCACAAGAAGATAGGCAATTCAAAGTAAACATCAATTAGAAAGCCAATCACAAGTGCAGTACTTTATTAATGCAACCAATAATCTTTAATATAATTATAAATGTGAAATATAAATCATAGAGAGCCTGAACTGTTGACTCGTATAGATTTATTCTTGCTTTGCATCTTCTTTACTGATCTGTATGAGGGACAATGAAACCTCAAGATCTTTTTGGGGGTGTTCTCTGCAGCACCTGAATTCTTCTGTGCTGGAGCTGAAAGTACTTACCGGGGAGTGTGTGTGTATGTTGGTGAATATTTCCCATTTCCAGTGATTTGGGGGAGAAATGTCTTTGAAAAAATGTTCCATTCTGCCTTCATATTACCATTATTTACTTTCACATGCAACTGTCTTCACTTGTCCTCGGTGACCAAATATGCATAGTCTTATGACACCATCCTTTTCAGGGTGTTACTCTTGTTTTGGTGAGATTAATCATGATATTAATAAAAAAGAGAAGAAGTAATGTGAGCCTGAGAGAGGAGGGAAGCACTGATATGGCAGCATCTATAGCACCAAAGAATAACAAAGGAAGGAGAATATTGTACATATGCCCTCAAGCCCTTGGGGAAATGGTTACCAGCCACTAACTATGCTGGCTATGTCTCACCTTCACTGCCAGATGCCTTATGCTTCAGAATACTAGTTTATGGGAATCACATCTAGGGAGAGTGCTGCTGCTGCACATGGGTCCTGCTTGTGAGATTTCAGTAGGCATCTGGCTGGTCACTGTGACAACAGGATGCTGGACATCATCACCATCACTATACCCCAGCCAATCTAGGTGGCTTCCAATAATTTAAAGCACAGTAAGGCATACCCCTGAATCTCTTGTGTGTCATTTCTGAATGTTTTTGGTGAACTATAGTAGAAATAGTTTTCCCCAGTAGTGATGTATGGAAGTGAGAGCTGGACCATAAAGAAGGCTGATGGCCGAAGAATTGATGCTTTTGAATTATGGTGCTGGAGGAGACTCTTGAGAGTCCCATGGACTGCAAGAAGATCAAACCTCTCCATTCTTAAGGAAATCACCCCTTAGTGCTCACTGGAAGGACAGATCCTGAAGCTGAGGCTCCAATACTTTGGCCACCTCATGAGAAGAGAAGACTCCCTGGAAAAGACCCTGATGTTGGGGAAGATGGAGGGCATAAGGAGAAGGGGACGACAGAGGATGAGATGGTTGGATAGTGTTCTCGAAGCTACCAGTATGAGTTTGACCAAACTGCGGGAGGCAGTGGAAGACAGGAGTGCCTGGCGTGCTCTGGTCCATGGGGTCACGAAGAGTCGGACACGACTAAACGACTGAACAACAACAACAACAACAATAGCAGAAATAAAAGGTGAAACAAATGAGGTCAACTGAGAGTGAAAGCAGGAAAAGGGAAATGAAAAAGCACTAAGAGTAACGAGATGAAAACCAAGGAACAGGTTGCTTTCTTTGTCGGCGTTGGTTGCCTGCAGATGGAAAAATGTAGACGTAAAATTCACAAGGTTAAAATAGTTCAAACCAAAACCAGGGTTTAAAGGTGCTGAGTTGGAGTCATCTAGTCCAACTCCCTGCAAAGCAGAATTCACTGCTGAAGAATCCCTGGAAAATTGCCAGACTTCAGAGCTCAGAGTAGGACTCTATCAGTAGCAGGACTTTGCAAGCAACAGAACTAATGACTTGGCTGTGGACTGCAAGGACTTTGAAACAATGAACCTTATCTGGGCTCAGAAAGAGAAGACTACTTGTACCATCTGTAAATAGCGTGCATATGTATGAAATGCAGTGTACGGTGGTGTTGGCCTAATAAAGATAACTCTACCAAATGGCTGTTTTCTGTGGTGAGCTTAACCACCTGACTAAACCTCTGCAGTGCATACACCCAACAACCCCAACAAAGGCAGCAGCTCAGTGTGGCACAACCACAGCATGGATCAGGAGCATTGGATTGGCTCTGCCACAGCTCTCACCTGCCCCATACAGGAGAGCTGCACAGTCCCACTAGCCGCTGCTGGCCTCATGACTTTGATATGAATGCAGTGGGCAGCAAAGGAATGACAGCAGTGTTGAAAAGTTATGGCTTGCCTTCTCATTAATGCCTTTTAATAATCTGACCGAGCCTTGGCCGTGGCAAAAGCGCTGGAGTGGATATGATGCCTGACTTCCCTAATAATAATTAGGAATGTAATCTCCAGCATTTAAGCTGATTGAATTTCATTGTTCTGTACTGAAAACCAGAAGAGGAGAGACAGACAATGTCTTGCTGGGGGCTTGGAGTTCTTCACCAGAAGCCAAACGTGAGCACAGAAGGGAAAAGGAATTGTTTCCACTCACTAGCAGAACAACTGGAATCAATCTCAGTGACTAGATCCAGCTCAGTAAAGGCCCTCTGTATATAGAAGAGTGGTTTATTTTCATGCAAGCCTACAACATTGGCATATGCATTCCTTACGGCTTGGCAACTTGCTATATGGGGATGAGGCTGGATCCACAAGTTTAGGTGTGATGCTAGGAGGAACTTAATTTGGGCCAGATCAGATATCCTGCCTGAATCCTTACATGCACCTACATAAGCAGGCCAAAAACAGACAAAGTTAATGGGGGCTGTGAATAATACGAGAAACATGGATGTTATTAATGGAAATAGCTCTATAATATCCCACAGTAATTATAAAAACACATGTAACATAGGCTCATGTTGTAGTCCCACCCCACAAAAAAGCCACTGACTGAACTGATAATGCAAAATTCCTCTATGAAACTGAATCTTCGATAAGTCTGTTATGAACTACAAGATAGAGATAGGTGAATCTATCATGGGTGACTCTGTCAATGTTGGCTTCTTTCCATTCTTCATTTTTCCATTCTTAAGTTCAGACCTCCGCATTTCCACATCTGCTTGTGATTTTTTTTTAAGTGCTCATGAAAATTCATCAGCATCCAACTGCACATTTCTCCAAATATGCACTTACTTGCACACAATTTTCTCCAGTAACCATACTTTTGCAAAGCAGTGTTCCCTAACATAATGTATGTTATTTTCACTAATATGTGCATTTTTATACACACTTTACCCTATAATATGCACTTTTGTATACATTACTTGGCTGGAGAACTACATTGCAAAATTCAGACAATTGCAAATTTTGAAGGATGGGTGTGTTTTGATGCATGTGTTATTTCAGAAAGTGTGAATTGGACAGGTTCCCCTTTAAATGTGAACCAAATCAAATTTTTCTCCCATCTGTACTATGAGATCTCCATCTGTAGCATGAGATCTACAGATTTATTGTTTTTGTAAGCCATTAGGAAGGTTGAAAAGCACTCTGTAAATACACATATAAATGAATGAATAAAATATCAACCGTATTCTTGACATTCTAGAATATATTCTTGGCTGTTTAGAAAATGAAAATGTTGTAAAACCACTTCTAACAAAGATTAAATAAGCAATTTTCTTCTGTATGGTTTACACATGCTGTTTCTGTCTGCTATGAGCTAAACAACCACGCCAATCAACCTCAGGTTGGTCAGTATCAACACATCATTAAAGATCAAACATGTCTACATGCGTGAAACTGAAGTAAAGGCAAAAGAAAAGTTCAGATATCACAGAAAGTGGATTTCAAATTAGGAACATTAACAAGATTTCCAATATTCTTTTAAAAATATTTCACAGGCTGAGAGGCGATCCTACAGATATAGATATATTTAAAAGCGAAAGAAGTGGATTATTTCACTGCCAAAATTATTGTGGGATTAAATTAGTAAGTAAGTAAGTAAAGTAAGTAAATTTTTATTTATACCCCGCCCTCCCCAGCCAAGACTGAGCTCAGGGTGGCTAACATCAAATATCAAATACATTAAAACACAATCAAACAATTGATTAAAATACAGCATAAAAATTAGAATCAGGATAAAATTAAATGACTGCCCATGAATTACAACCATAGGGGTCGGGAACCTCAAGTATTCATCAGGGCCAGCTTCCCATGTTGATCCCACATAAGCCGATAAAAGGGCCAAAGAGGTAACTTACAGGGTCCCATAGAGAGGGGTAAAACTGGGCCCGGACGAGAGGCCAGGTGGAACAGCTCTATCTTGCAAGCCCTGCGGAAGGTTGTCAAATCCCGCAGGGCCCTGGTCTCCTGCCATAGAGCGTTCCACCAGGCTGGGGCCAAAGCAGAAAAGGA